AAGTGATAGCCAGTGTCCAACAGCAGCTGAAGCAGTTTCACTCCGGAGAAATTCAAGTAAGCATTCATTTGGCTTTGACTCTTCTGAAAGTTCAAGATGGCCTTGAAACTCTCTGTTTTCTCCAAGTGCTGGAGAATCAGATATTTGTTTGCATGAGCATGCATCATCTGAGCAGGGACATAAATTCACAAAGATCGCCTTATAACACTTGATAACTCCTTCGCGGAATTCTTCTGATGCCTCCAAGGGAGACAATAAAGCTGCACATGTTAACTTCTTCAACACTACAACCATCTGCATTATCACATCATCATAATTAGGACAAACAGCTAATTCAGAAAATGGATATACTAAAAGAGTATTTAAAGGCTATTCACAGAAAACAGCATGAATAGCCCTATGAACCTGTATTTCTTTTATTTACTTTCTATGAGACCGTACAACTAAGGGACACAATTGATGAAAAACTTGAATGCTTCCCTGCAGTAATTTTCCCCCAATAGGCAGGCAGTGGATCTAAGAGACAAACGAGAACCTACTTACCTTATCACTCTCATTCGTGTCATAAGTCAACTATCCCCGAGAATAATAAGTCTACTTACCTTATGACACTCATTCATGCCACAGGTCAACTACGCTAGTTAATAATAAATCTCAACCCCGGCTTAAAACATAAAATAAAATTAGACCAACAAGATAATTGATACTACAAGAAGAATGATGACGTAAACTGAAATGCAATAAAAATCAAATCTCCTCCAAAGCTGTTTCAGCAAAAGTCTTCTCGTGAATAGAAATATATTTAGTCGAGATTAGTTATTTAAGACTGATTAGCGTGTAGTAAGCAACAAGCATCGCTCTAAGAACAGTCCCTGACACTATAAGGATAATTAACATTTAAGAAATGAAAGGTAAACAAATGAGGCACGTCTCAAGTCTAATGGTATTTTCAAATTCGACTACCTGCGCCACAGATCCTAAATGACACTTCTTCAGGAGTTCTTCAAGACACTGAAGCACACCTTCTGCTACACTGTCACTCACTCTATGAGGCAGCTCGTGAGTGACAGACTTCATGATGTTTTCTTCAAAATTAACCTTCTGCTGAGATCTGTCCTCAACCGCTGCATCCAATAGCAGCAGTAGCGGGAACAGCGCATAACTGAAAATAGCAAAACTAAACTATCAGGTATGATTGCAAGTTCAAAAGGACTGAAATTATAACAAGTTAATAAAAATAGATCTTTTTATTTCGTTCTTTTGATTTCTCGGTGCATGTATAAAGAGAGAGTAAAATTGTAACAGCCCAAGCCCACCGCTAGCCGACATTGTCCTCTTTGGGCTTTCTCTTTCGGGCTTCCCCTCAAGATTTTTAAAATGCATCTGCTAGAGAGAGGTTTCCACACCTTTGTAAAGAATGTTTCGTTCTCCTCCCTAACCGATGTGAGATCTCATAATCCACCCCCTCCCCCCTTTCAGGGCCCAGCGTCCTCGCTGGCACTCATTCCCTTCTCCAATCGATGTGGGACCTCCCAATCCACCCCCTTCAGGACTCAACATCCTTGTGCCCCCCCTTCAAGGCTCAGCCTCCTCACTGCCACATCGCTTGGTATCTAACTCTGACGTCATTTGTAACAGCTTAAGCCCACTGCTATCTAACTCTGACGTCATTTGTAACAGCTTAAGCCCACTGCTATCTAACTCTGACGTCATTTGTAACAGCTTAAGCCCACTGCTAGCAAATATTGTCCTCTTTGTGCTTTCCCTTTCGGACTTCCTCTCAAGATTTTTAAAACGCGTCTGCTAGGGAGAAGTTTTCACGCCCTTATAAAGAATATTTCGTTCTTCTTCCCGACTGACATGGGACTGTCACTAAAATTTAAGAAGTCTTCATAACCCAAAAAGATTTAAATGAATGAAAAAAAAAAAATCATTGACATCATATCGATCATCTTTTTTACCTAGCTTTTCTATGCCTTCCGAGATTTTTTCAGGTTTTCGATAAAGTTGATTGATAAGCAATGAAACATGTTGATTACAATTATGGTTCAGAGGCTAAATACATTCTTCGTCCCTGAAATATAGCTTTATTTCCAAGTTATTTCTTGAATGAATTGTGGATGAATGCTTAATTGCGTGAATGCTGAGAGTTAGAATAAAAAACCAAATGTAACAATATATAAAACGAACATCGCTTAAAGAAATATAACATAATGAATTTGCAAAGTGGTAAGAGTAGCTTACTCAAAACAAGGTTGCAGAGAAGTTGGGGATGTTTTTCGAAGCAGCTGAAGCATTGAATGAATCGAGGAGGAATGTTTCTTGGGCTTTTGGAGAAGCTCAAGCAACTCCACACAACATGGTTTCAGCTTTGCGAACACTTCATTTCTCTGAACTCCATCATTTGATTCTTCCGTATTTTCTTCCTCGTTTAAGGAATTTATATCAACTATCTCCATCTTCAACAGCTCAGAAGAAACAGAGGAAAAGCTTTACTTAAAGCAAGGACAACCATGAAACCAAAAGAAACAAAAACAGTTATATCAGCAATTGAAATGAAGCTAAGATCAGTTGCAGAACGCAATAAGAATTCACATAGAGGTGAAGATGCAGCAGCCGAGAACCTCTTCAGAGAGCGCGAGAAGACCCGCTAAACTTGAACATGCTTGCTGTATTTTTATTTTATTTTTTATTGTTTTTTCCTCATCCGCCATCTTACGGTGCTGGTCCGGGAACCTGTAGCAGTGGGCTGGGCTGGGCTACAAATGATAACGATGAACCGTAAATTTTGTTACGACCCAATATTTCTCTTCGGGCCTTTCTTTCTTTAATTGGATCTTTAATTTTGGCCCATCAATCATTATCGTGTATCTATTATTCACTAAATATTTTAGTTAATTAAAAATTATAATAATTTTAATTTTTCTTATTTAGAATATTACGCTAGGCTAAATTTTTAAAATAATGATTTTATTTAGGTAAGGGACTCCCAAAGCAAACAAATGGGAAGAAGAGGTGGGCAAGTTGACATAATTTTTAAGAATTACCATCGTCAATTCGTTACTAAAAAAACAAATTGTTACTCTTTACACCGTCCAGCTTTAATAAACTAAAAAAAGTTATACTCATTGACTTATTAGTATTAATTAAAACTAATTAACTAGTTAGTCGTAAATATCACTCATCCTGTGAAATATGCATTTATGAATTATGCAACACTAATATTGGGCTTAAATATTTATCACATAAAACGTCATAAAATACTAACCAAGCAATAATTAAATTTGATAGTGATTTAGCAGTAATTAATTGTTTTTTTTCTAAGAAAACGTGTTAATTAGATGTATTCAAACATAAATACATATTTTTCTACCTAGGCGGGAACATAAAGTAAAAGCAAAACAAGGAAATTGTGACTTCCATATTTATAAACTTAATTCATAAATCTTTATATATATATATATAATATTATTATAGATAATTAGTTAAATAATATATTTTTTTTAAAAAATTGGGTTTTGAGTGTGGTGGGCGCTGCTGATGATGAGCGCATCCGTAGCAATGTAGCAATATTTGTGTTGATTTGATTTTGTCACAATAATTGATTTTCATAATATTTCATCTCAATCATCAAACCTTTTTTTTTTTTTTTTTTTTTGACAAAAATTATACCGAAAATAAATGTTAAAATACTATTTTGTCCCTATACTCGTTTAATTACTCGATTTGATTTGAGACATAATTAAATAATTTGAAAATATAAAGGGTGTTTAATATTATTTGCATTTAAAACGTAGGAGAAAAAGGATATTGTGAATTAGGCAATGAATGAAAGGGAAGAGGTTACGTCATCTAAAATTGTTTGGTTTTGGGTATTAAATGTTGCATTCAGAACGTTTTTATGGGTGGCCATTAAATGCCATCAACTCTGTATGGTCCGCTCCCCTCTATTAAATCCAAATTATTATTTACAAAAATAAACATAATAATAAAACAAACGAATTTATTATTAAAAAACAAAAGCGTTTTAGATTATTTGAAAAAAAAAATGGAATTTTAAAAAGAAAAAGAAAATAAAAGAGCATTAATTAAGGAGTTTTGAATGCTTGGTTTGGCAGGTACTCGTGTGTCCATTTCAATATTTGTCAATGTTTGACTAACCAACAACAACATTAAATGTATTGATTTATGTATCATTTATTTTTCTGATAGACACTCCCCTTCTCACATCCCCCAGATTGCCCCTCGCAATTTTACATTCCTTTATTATTATTATTTTTTTATTTATATTCCACGGCTTTGTTTTAGGCTTCTCAAAAAGACCTCGTACCTGTGGAGAGAGTATTCATTGACTATAAACTCATGATCATTTTTCAAATTAGCCAACGTAGGACTTTCATCTAACAACTGTAACTTGCGAAAATGAGTATAGATGGGGACGATTTGTTGAGGATTCGGCACCATACTTAGTTGGAGCAACAATTGTGTTAGCACCATTCCGTGTCTAACCAACATTGGCTATCCAAATCCAAAGTCAAAGGAGTTTTCTTAAACCACACGGTCCTCTCAAACCACTTCATTTAATACATTCAATTCAGCTTTATATCTCAACCAATATTCAAATTTTGTAATTAAAATTAAAAAAACATACGGAAATTAAATTAAATTAAAATTAAAAAAGAATATACGTGGCATGGAAATAAATAAGAAAAGGAAGAAAAAAAGAAGGAAAATTTGGGAATTAAATTCACGGTGATAAAATAAGAAAGAGGGGAAAATGGCATTAAATGATGGGAAGAAGAGTAGTGGTAATTGTAAATTGGCATTTAATGGCACCAATTAATTGTCTTCCACTTTCCCATCATTAATCAAATTAGAATAATTAATTATAATTTTCACTCCCACCATTAATATTGTGAAAATTAATTAAATTACTTCATAACGTCGCTGCAATATTCACTGCATAACCATCCTCTTATATTTTTTTGCTTATGCCGCTCTCCGCACAAATTACACCCACCCACCTCTCTGCTTCTTCTCTCTCTATCCTTCTCGTTTTTATCAGAACAAAAAGCAAAACCCCTTCACAACCCCCTCCGTTTCGTTTCCCTATAAAGCTCCAAAAAATGGCTGCCCAAGTCAGCAGTCTGATTCGGGTACTCGCCGGCGCCGGCTACAACGACGAGGATAACCGGACGCCCCTCGGTAATGGCCAGGAACCAACGCCTCTCGTTACTCGCGATTTGCTCGGCCAATCTTCCAACCTCGCCGCCTCTCAGGAATTGGACCTCGATTTGCAGGTTCCCTCCGGCTGGGAAAAAAGGCTCGACTTGAAGGTTCCTTCTTTTAAAATCTTATTTTATTTTGTTTAATAATTTCAATTGCTTTCTGGGTTTCAAGAACTGTATGATTCCCTTCAGAAAAAAAAAAAAAAAAATTGTATTGTACTATGGGTTTTGTTTATGAAGTTCTGGATTTTTTTTTTTTTTTTCCTTTCCTTTTAATGACATTGATTGCAGCTTGGTACTCCTGATTAATTACCCCCATCGTAGCCCTATTCAATTACCCCTCTCCTCTGAATTCATTAAATTTCGTTCCTATTTTTTATTTTTTTAATAAAAAAAAACAATTTAATTTCCTTTGTGTTTGCAGTCGGGAAAAGTTTACATACAGCGAAGTCAAACACCGGATTCTCCTCTGAATTCAGATTCAAAACAACACCAAATGACAAACCAAACAGAGTCCAAATTCCAGGACTTGAATTTCCCCCCATCTCCTTCAAAACGAACATTAAATCTCTTCAACGAAACCAGCTTGGATTTGAAACTGACGTCGTCGTCGCCTTCGTCACCGTCTCCGTCGACCAATTACGCCAGTGTTTGCACTCTGGATAAGGTGAAATCCGCTCTGGAAAGGGCCGACAAGGAGCTCGTTAAAAAAAGGTCGTCGCTATGGAAATCGACTTCATCGCCGTCGTACTCGTCGTCGTCGTCTGCGGCGGCGAAGGAAATTCAAGAAGAAGAAGAAGCGGTGGAAAATAGAAACGAGGCGGCGGCGCCGATGGCGGTGGGTTGCCGTGGATGTTTATCTTATGTATTGGTTACGAAAAACAACCCGAGATGTCCTCGTTGCAATTCTGTTGTTCCGTTGGCGAGCATGAAGAAACCTCGGATTGATCTAAACATGTCTATATAAAATATCCAAAGGGAAAATTAAGAAATTTCCGCCATGGCCCTCTCCCTGGATCTTGTGTTTTGGGTATATGTAAAATGGATATATTCACACAAAATTATGGTTTCCATTATTCCATTTTCAATTCCTCCTCTGATGTCAAATTATTCGAACCCTATAGTTTCATTCATAACATACTATATATTATTAACATTCAAATCTATTAAATACATAAATGAATAAAATATAAGTTGATAAATTTTTTTAAAAAAAAAGAGAGAGATTTTTGGTTTAAAAAGAAGCGTGCATTTATAGAGGGTGAGAAGGTGGGTTTAATCTTTAATGCTTGCTTTCTGCATCGCATGAGGATAATTAATATATTTAATGGCACTTTAATTTTGTCATAGTTTGCCACCTACGTTTTTGTGTCCATATTTATTGCTATCTCCCTTTTTTTATATATATAAATGAATTCGTGTTATTGTTAGATTAGTAATGGAATTAATTTTTAATATAATATCTCCGGGGCTTTCTTGCACTAATTTCATTCTTAAACTTTGTTATTAATTAATCTAATTATGTGCGACTTTATGAACCTCACCTCGCATTTATTGGCATTAAATTCTAAACCTATTTGGCTATGAAATCAACGTCAACACCCCCATTAATGGCCATGAGTTGATGAATTGATTTATGGTTGATTGTTTCAATTATTAATGATAATACATTAATTTCCTGTATTATGGTGCGATATTTTCAAATTTCACTTAACTACCATAATCAAAATTAAGCCATGTCATAATAAAAAGTAATATATATATATGAAAATCTTAAAACATGTGGGGTTTAAATTTAATGTTGAAATAAATGTTGACAAAATTAGGTAAGTAATTTGTAAGAGTGGATAATTTATTCGCCTAGGCCACCGCCAGCCGAGCAGCATCATATTTAATCATCGCTACTCTTCATCTATTTACAGCTTCATATTTCAACCACAATAATAATAGATAAATAAACAAAAATCACAGTACTATTTCTTTATTTTTACTGCATAGCTACTTGGTTTATTCTTTTATTCAACTTCACTTGTTTATTTTGAATGCTTCCAATATTTGTTGTATCCATTTTAACAATAAGTTTTTAATTTTATTAAATTAATCATATAGCTAGGTAAGTGAGTCATATCAAATTTAATAGATGAATTAGCAAAAAAATTGAATTATGATCAGAACTAGTAATTAATTTTTCGAGTAAATACGTGTGGTTATGAATATTGAATTTACTAATTAATTTAATTAAGCTCATCGCCCTCGTTGTTTCTTGTCCATTATTTTTGACATTTTTGGTTTGAGGCGTTTGCAGGCTCAACCAGCGTCTTAACCAGATTCAATGGCTCACAAGTGTAATGGAAACTGCACACTCCCGGATAGTTGACGATGCCCTTGCAAGCTTGAAACCGAGTCGTCCACAATTGTTTGACCAGAATTGGGGCTCGGTCCTGGTTGCTGGGTTCAGAGAATTGGGTAGGAATCTCATGAGAATGCACGAAAAGGGCGGGGTACCAAGATTGAGCTTGCGTGTGGGATCCCTTATAGCTCTGAGAACCTACAAAATGGGTAGAGAGTTGTGTGGTTGTGGTGGTGTTGCAATGGAAGTTGAAGGAAATAAAGTGGGAGCATTCGATGTTATTTATGAACAACACCAGAGTTTAATGTTGGGAATTCACAATTACGATTACGAGAATGCCTTCCACGTCAATTCCCAACATTAATTCACCATTCCCACCCTTTTCTCTTCCATCGTATTCATAACCTCCAATTATTTTATTATTTTACGATTTCTGATTCCATCTTATATTATATTATTATAATAAATATTAACCTAAACCTTTTAAATTATAACCTCAGTCAACTATATAATTATGATTATGATTTTACCACTAATTTTGATAGGACAAAATTAATTAAATTATAATTAGTTCGAATAGGTCAACACAAAATTAATAAATAAAAATTAAACTAAAAAAGGAATTATAATATTTTAAAATTTAGATTCAAAATGGATATTAGTTTTGATCGTTATTATTCTTTCAAAACCCCATTTCACGTTCGGGCACCCCTCTTACGCATTACCAGCCACCACAGTTCGACCCGCGCCACCCCGCACCCTGCAGCTCGTTCATTCCCGACGATGTCTCAGCCGCCGCCGCAGACTGCACTCTCAGCCTTCCGATGAAGTCGCCGCTGCCTCCTTCCTCTCCCTCTATTTCAGAAACACAGTGGTGCAGCCCCTTACCCGCGTCGGGTTTTACTTGTTGTTTTTGTTTTGTCCGGTTGGCTTATGTTGGTTTATTCGCTCTTCACACACGGCGAAGAAAATAAATATAATTTTTTTCTTCCACCAATGTTCAATGAGTGTAAATCAAAAACATAAACAATAAGAGCGTCTTCCTCATAAATTACAAAAAATGATTCAATCAATCAATAAAATGCAAACCACGACTGATTTCAAATTTTTTGCGCCTTTTTTTGATCCAGACACTTGAACAGATTTGAACTCCTTCCAAATTCTGGAATTCCGCCAGGGTTAATCTCTCACTACTCCAAGGAGGCTTTCATTCCGCCTTAGCAATGGGGAAGAAACGTAATAACGAGAAACAGAAGGTCATTCTACCGCCGGAGCTTCCAACAGAGGTTACCGAGGAAGAAATTGAGGTCTCCGATGAGGATTTGGAGTTTTTCAAGGAGAACCAAGACTATGCCGTCTCTTTTATTCGTCTAGACACTAAATCCATTTCCAAGTTTGTATTCAATTTTGATTAGCTACTTTTCGAATTGTGTTTTTTATTTGCACATGATGATAAGCAAAAACATCCGATGCAGTATGCACCTGAAGATGGTGGGAACGAAGAGGCAATGGAAGAGGGCGGCGTAGATAATGGTATAGTGAAGTAAACTAAGCCAGAAAGGAGGGTAAAGCTGAAGAAAACTAAAAACCAGAGGATGTAACCAAAGCTGAAGAAGTTAAACCAACCCCACAAACAGCTGCGATTTCACTCTCCTCCTTTATAGCACTGTTGCATGAAATAATGTCAGTAGTTTTTTCATGAAAAAGATATGGAAATTAACTCAACTCGTGGGCTTGTTAAGCTGGTAGACAAGAAAACTCTTTGGCTTCGGCCTGCTTGTCTGACTAGCTCTTAATACAATAGGAAAATGTTCGTATAATATCCTATTCCTGGGGTTGTTTCAAGTTGAAAACCATCTTTCACTCAGTTGAAATTTGAAAAAAAGTGGCCACAAAAAGCCACGGCCACACTCACGTGGCTACTGAAAAAACCAAATACACGGAGCCAAAATTGCTAGTAATAAAAACAAAGGGAAGTTCCTGAAAGAATCATAACAAGTAACATTGGACTGTTCGTGGGGATATCCTTAACATAATTGTGCATTTCCTATCTGCCTACAGTATGGTCCAACATTTATGATCAAATGATATATTTGGATTGGCAGAAAACTCTGTAGTGGTGCTATCAAGTATTTATTTATCAATGAGGGAAAGCATGGTGGTGAAGCGACTATGGAGGCTGTCCGGTTGGTTGCTGATCAAGTGAAATTTCATGACTGCCAATTGCCTCCTGATTCCATCCAGGTTTGAATTCTCATTCTTACACCTTTTTTTTTAAGCATATGAGGCTCATGCTTTCTTATAGAAGTTTATGCCTTGATGCGAACATATTGAAGCTAAGTTTTTATTGCTCTTGTAGTTGTTAGAGAAGTAATACAGTCTATTTTCAAAATGTTAGACATCCACTTCTTTGATTCCCCTTTTTCTTGGGCTGTTTTTACTGCTCATGTTTTTTTTTTGTTTTTTTTTTTGTTTTCTTGGGCTGGTTTGATGACACAAGGATCAAATGTGCTTGAAGCCTAGTTATAGAAAAATGTGCTTGAAACCTATATCACGAGTGGTTTCCAGATATTAAATTATTTTTAATTTTCAATTGTTCATCCTAAGGCACGCGAATGGACTCATTTGTTGTTGAAATGGAACTTCGAGTGCAGTCTATTTCTTTGGGTTTAGGTTTTTTTTTCTCACAAAGTTTCCTGTTCGCAACTTTTACCACCGTTTCGTGCATCTAACATTTGACGAGGATCTGAGAAAAGAAGAAGAGCAAGATGAGCATAATAAAGTAAAGAACAAAAAACACAGGAAAACAAAAAATCATGAGGAATCAAGTCACTTGCAAGGGATGATGCAAGACAAAGTACGAGGACAAAGTTTACTGAAGAGGTGTTACTTTTGCCTATTCTTTTCTTTTTTTCCGTTTCTCAATTGATTTAGCATCTTTTTAGTTGGTAATGGATGAATGTTTGTGATGTTTCACATAGGTTGCTTCGGATTACAGGGCTGCTTCTCTTGCTCCAGATGTGATGAAGCAAAGAGAGATGCAGTCAGATACACTTTCTGCTGTATTTGAAACTTATTTCCGAATCTTAAGGCATACAATGGAGTTATTAAATGCTAGGTAAGTTATTATTATTTAGAGCTTGCGTGTTGTTTGTATTGCGTTTGTTTGTGTTTTCTTCAAAAAATTCAGTCTTACCATGAAGAAAATATGAAAAAAGATTGGTGTTTTACTTTTTCTGAAAAAGGGTACATAACTAAACAAGAGCATACCATACCATTAGTTTGTTTCAGTTCAGTTCCTTTTTTTTAAGCTTGATGCTAATGGGAAACTACTCTTAAAAGTTAAATCAATTTATCCTTGTATATACCCCAGATAGGGAGGATCCCTCTTTTAGCTCGAGTCTTTGACTGGATGTTGGTGTAGGGATACTGGGGTCTGCTTGAACTGTCCTTGAGCTTGAAAAGTTAAATTTAAATTTGATCACAGACATGTTGATTAATGAAGGCTTTGGTGTCTTTGTATTATTTGTCTTCATGGATTTTCAATTGTTTTTCAATGTATTTTTCTTCTGACGCAACTCAGACTGCTGAACCAAGTATCTTTCATTTATTATGAAGGCCTGAAGCAAATATTACTGCACCTACTACTAGCCCATCTGGATCCCATCCTCTGCTTGCTCCATGTTTGAATGGATTGGGGAAATCCTCCCATCTCATTGATTTAGATTTCATGGGAGATCTTATGAATTATCTAAAAAGCCTTGTTTCGGGTGGTGATAATTCTTCTGAGAAACAGTCACAATGTTTGACCGTTTCTGAGCGTCTTCAGTGTTTCTTGTCGCATTTAAAGTTATGAGGAAAAACCTTGATGCTATCAATGTTGATCTTCAGGACTTTTCTGTCCAGCTGTACAATACTGTACTCGAGTACAGGCCTGTAAGGTTAGTGCTGAACTCTAAACTAGAATGTTAAAATTGTTGCTAGTTCCTTTAAAAGCAAGCCTGGTTAATGTTTGTTCCAAGGATTGTTTTAATATTTATGCTCTTCATTACAACAAGTTCTCTGATAACCTAATCTTGGGAAAAAATTCTGATGTTACACTGGGATTCATCACCAAGCATCCAGTCGTTTTGTGAACCTCAGATTAAAGCTTTCAAGTTTATAAGAATTCTTGGACATTACTTGCTTAATCCCATGTAAGCCATAACAATTTTGATTTTAATTTTTAGGGTAAGTTCATTTGTGGCCAGTCTGGTGCACATGCCTTGGGGTCCTTGTTATGATGTAATTTTAATACCTTGTTCCCTGGATATTATGATTGTTTATCACTAAGGGTGAGACTACATTAATATTTATAGTTTCTACTACTCATCTGCCATCTGCTATCATATATGTTCTATTATTATTATTATTTTTGAATGGGTAACATTCAAGTTTCACTCACAGAGACCATGGTGGATTGTTAGCTGAAGCTTTGAAGATAATGTTGTGCGATAATAGACAGCATGCCATGCAGAAGGCAGCTGCATTTATTAAGCGTTTGGCTACTTTCTCATTATGCTTTGAATCTGCAGAGTCGTTGGCAGGTATATTTAAATTCCTTTTAGTTTTGATGACTTTTATTTAACCGTGAATGTGTGTGGCTATTTACTGCCTCGGTCACCGTAAAGCATCTTCTTCAGAAAAATGTCAAGTGCCGCAACCTTTTGGAAAACGATTCTTGGGGAGGTTCAGTGTCTGGCTCAATTGCGGTAAGGTTTCATTGTAACTAGTTGAGATATATGACAGCTTTGCATGATGTTTATCTCTCCCGTATTTCACGAACACGAGAAAACAAAAAATCACCAAGCATTTCTACTATGACATGTTTAGAACGACTTTTCAAGTGAAAAAAAAAGTATTATAAGCACTTAGAAAGTTGATGAAATTAGGCGATTTCGTAACGTCCCGTGAAATTGAGCTTATTGATTCAATATCAGACATCCTTCTTCCCACCTCAACCTACTCATAGGAGGAAAGAGAAACTAATTTTTGCTGATTTGATATGCAGAAATACGAGCCATATGCTTCTGATCCAACTTTGAGCTGTGCTCTTGCTTCTGTCCTTTGGGAACTTAATCTTCTGTGGAAGCATTATCATCCAGCTGTCTCAACGATGTCAACGAGCATATCAAGCATGAATAGTGCTCAAAACCAAGTGTACATCGCCACGGTTTCTCCCCAACAGGCATTCAAAGACTTGTCGCTGGAATAGGAGTCTTTCAACCCACAATTTAATGTCCGAAAAGTTAAAAAGAAAAAAAGAGCTAGCGAAGTGAAGGAGAAACTTTCAACAAGATTCTTTCTTCTCGGGACATCAAGGACAATGAAAGGCTGAGAGGTGAATTGGACCGTACCACTTTGTCTTTGCAGCTGTATGAAGAACACAAAAGGCAAAAGAGAAAAACTAAAACATCAAGGTATGTTTAACTTTGTTATTTGTGATTTTTTGGTGTTAAAATCTTCATGGTTGCAAGAAATGTAGATTAATTAAGTTGAGAGGAAATGTATAGTTCATACTATTGAAATAGAATAGAATTGATATATATAATTTTATTGAATCCGTCAAAGTTTGATCACATTAAGTCTTCACCAAATGATTGTCTGGGATCATACGCACAACTCATTAAATAGATCGTCCAACCTACAGCAGCATCAGCAGCATGTCAATCAATGCCCAACTTTAATATATTGGTATAGTACTGATAGCCCTTTTCTTCCCTTTGGAATAAACAATATATTTACAAATAAATGTAAGGCATGTGAGTGTCTTCAGAACCCACATGGGGCTTCCCTGTATTATCTGCCTCTTCTCTCGGATCTTGGAAGATCATTTCGCTGTTAAAGTATTAAGATTTTCCTCAGCATAAATACCTTGGGCTCCTCGAAATAGATGATCACAAGCCATATTCATGGCGATCAACTAGAAACCAAAGAAAACCATATGATATCATGTCGACCAATAGAGATATATGGCTCCTCGAGCTTAAAAGGAAACCACAAACGAGTCCTTTTTATAGGCATGTTTGGTTGTCGTGAACAAAGATTTGAATTTGGTCTAAACTCTCTAAGTTTCTAAAGAATCAATGACGGGTCATTTTGTTTTAGAGCGGAAATGATAACAATGATGAGCAAAAATGAAACCATAGTACACCCACCATGTGAAATACCAGCGCAAATCAAGGGATTCATTGTCAAACTATAATAAATAAGTATCCGTCCTGTTGTTGGCAGTTTTTTTCTTTTGGGCTCATTATATTTTCAACATATAATATTTGGGAATCAAATTTATAATCACTTTGGTGGCTTCCAATCATTTCTCTCTATTCCCTTTTGCTTGTAACGTGACTTGTTTGGAACCTTAGCACGCTTACATTATTTATGCCCTTAATAATGTCCTCTCTGCATTATTATTATTTTGCTACAATCGATGTGACTTCTCATCCAATCATTCATTTTCCCTAAGCTTTTCATGAGTGTGTGAATGCAGAGAATATGGGTTTTTTTTGCTTAGTCATATTATAAGCTATATTGTTGACAAATGTATGCATGAGGGGTTAACATATTATATAATATAATATAGTTTTAATCATATTATAAACACTTCACAGGGTTTTGACCCATCAAAGCTTATACTGAATGAAATGTGGTTGATAAAGAATTAGTAACATGATTAAGGCATATGGCATTCATAATGTAAGCTCTCTGTCCTTTCTAACTGAAATTTAAAACTACATTGCCAATCCATCCTCCCACTAACTAACATATGATAAAAATAATAACAATAATGGAAAGCTTGGGTTGATCAAAGAAATCCAGAGTGTGAATGATTGTTGGGTAATTGGGTCAAATCAAGGATTAATTTGAAAGTGCATGTGAGGAGCTGGAATTGGACACTGTATTTGGGTTTGGGGTCAGATTTGTGGATGGAGAATTGAATTATTAATTGTGGGTAAGGGTGGGGCTTGAGTTCCATTAATGATTAATGATTATAATTACAAGAAGATTTCATAAAATTGTTTTGTTTTGCAATATTAGAAAGCACCAACAAATTTTAATGAAGAATGGTGAAAAGTGGAGATTCTTATGTCTCCGAGATTTACCTCTCTCTTCATTATTCTTTCAACTCATTAAAGTTGCATCTACTTCACACCCACAAACCACATTTTTCAACTAACACCAATCTTCTCACTTCTCTCCTCTTTTTCTTTTGCCAACTCTTATACTTTTTGATTGCACTGCTAACTTTTTTTTTCCCGACAAATCTATTTATATCTTTGTTAAGATTAAGATGTCATAGGAATTGATCTATTATATAAAACGTCTACATCACCTCTAAGTTCATTGTTCAATGAAAGGCTCTCGAAGGAGTCATTCTCTATTTTTCCTCTGATCGCACACGCAGCGATCTGTTCTTGCTGTAATACGTAATCCCTCGGTCATTATTCTTAATTCATCCCCATGTAATACACAACAACCTACTATTGTCGTAGGTGTTACTCTTAAACCATCAATTCTTATCCAACACGCACATAAACTACTTCTAACCCCTTCAATAGTAAAAAGTAGTAGGTGAAATGTGATGATCTGGCATTATTAAGTGAATTTTGCCTCTACAGCTAATGAATACCAAATTCTTATAGAGTGATGATCCCAAGATGCGTTTGCAAAATCAAATTATGTTTTAATTAATAAGGTAGTATTATCATTAATTACCTTTTATCTTCGTATCTTATCGAAATGATCATTTACTGAAACCAAATTGATTAAAATGAAAAATTTACAAGGATAACATTCTTCTAGATTCGGATGACATAATTCATAAAATGACGTAATTTAAGTTGGGCAGAATTTCAAATTCCATTTCTGAAGGATACCGCCCGTCGATATCTCCGATCTTCGTTCTTGTCGGATCTCTACAGACACCGCCGGCTAAATAATCAGGTAGCTTCTCACTTCTATTTACAATGATAGTGCCATTGATTCATCTAGAAGAATCCCCCATTCTCCGGCGGATTTCCGGAGATTGGATTCCTTCCTCTCGTAATTTTAGCGAATATTACTTCGTCGCTACTTTCTTTCCCTTGGTTTGATTGTTTTTGCCATATATTGTGGAATAAGATCCTTTAATGTTTTCGATTTTGGCGAATCGAAAATTTCAAGGATTCAAGAAGGCAATGAAAACAGAAAATCTATGAGAATTACAATTTACGCTTCCTCTTCGCTGAGTTCTGGATTGATTACCACCAAAACAGATCCCCCACCCGAAATCTTGGAGTTTGGGCTTAAATTTAAAACGTCAAGATCCCTCATCCAAGATCCTTCAACCAACTCATCATCGCTACGATTCGGAACGGGAATGTAAGAAATAGAACAAGAAGAATTCAGTGATTGATCATCGAATTTCACGAAGAAGAAGCCGTGCTCCGAAACAGAGAAAAATGTAGTAATATCCTTGTCGATTTACATCGGAAGGAGAAAAAAGAAGCTAAAAAAGTATTGTCCAGGATCACTCTCCTTGACATACTAATCATCTATGAGAAACCAAAATCAGAAAACCTATATACAGAAAAATAAAAAACAATCTCTCTACAAAAATACAAGAGAGGAAAAAAAAAAGTATGTTTATGACTCGAGAGAGAGATTGGAAAGAAGATCTTGAAGATGGCGAGAATCGTAATCACCGAGTCTGAGAGCCTCAAGAACACGCTCAAAGAGAAGAACATGGCAGGGAATATGTAGAACGCCTTTCTGTTCGTAGCCGTACTCCTGGGCGGATTTATCGAGGAGCTCGATGAAAACAGGGTGATTTAGGAGTTGAGCGCTGACGACGAACCGTTCCATCTCTTCGCCGACGTAAACAGGGACGTGGCCTTGCGGCACAGTGCCGGAACGGAGGATTCGAGAACGACGAAGTTTGGTGGCGGGGGCGTGAGAGTCGGAGCGGAGAAGACAGTACTGCGAGGAATCGGCAACGCGGGAAAGACGGCGAATTAATTGCTTCATGATGATTGGTAAAAGAAATGGATGGAGAGTGAGAAGGGATTTGAGATTTGATTTAGAAGGAATCTGATGGAATTGGTGGGTTTAGTTTGAAGACGATGAAAGAGAGCATGAAAATTGGTAGAAGAATGGGAAGAATATATATAGAAAGTGAGGGGGAGGTGTGAATTTGGAGATTAAAAAAAATATATATATATAAAAATTAAATACAAAAAGAAAAAGAGGGTGGGGAGGTACAGGTAAGAGTACTTGCCTGGTACATCACTCACACCACCTTCCCCTTCCCCGTCTCATTATTAATTATTATTTCTTCCAGTTATTTTTTATTATAAATTTTATTTCTAAGCTTCCAAATTTTATCATAATAAATATTTAAATTAAAAAAGAAAACAGCATAATTAGTAATTTGAATTAAATATTTGCACTCCTAATCTTTACCGACTGGCCTTTGTGTTATGGTGAATACTAATGTGTAGGACGATGATATACCAATGTGTAGGACGATGATATACTAATGTGTAGGACGGTGATGTGGGTGTGTGTAGGACGCTTTAAAAAGAAAAAAAAGGTACTTTGTTGGAGTTATTTATTTTAAGCATATTCATAGTTTGGGAAAGAAAATTAGTTATATTGTTTGATTTAAAAAGATTTTATATTAGTTTAGTTTTAACTAGTAATGGTGGATAAATATTAAAATATATTGGGTATGAAGAAGGGATGGGGTGGGGCCGTGGGGGCGTGTTGTCCAACTGGGTGAGCGGCGCGGGGTTGGGCTTAGGATTAAATTAAATATTCCTATTCCCTACACATTCTGTTCACAAGTCGTAGCGTGTGGTGAATGGCGGTGCCCTTGCCTTGCCTTGCCTTGCCTTGCATATCAATTCCATTCCATGGGGGGAACAAGGTGGGAAGGGGGAGGACTGTCCCAACCCCATTCTTGTCTATCTACCTTTACGCGTCTTCCCCTTTCCTTACTCTTCTTCATCTTCTTCATCTGTGTGTGTGTGTGTGTGTGTTGGCAATTGAATATTCCCGAACCCCAACAAAAAAGAACGGTTCTTTCTTGGAATGCAATGGACCGTATCATTACTTCCTTCTTTAACAAGATTAGTTCCATTTAGATATGAGTTGCAATTCGGAATGGTGAGTTGCAATTCCAATGCCACTTGGGGGGGCGTCCAATGAGATAGACGACGATATGAATGTACGGAAGGTTATACCAAGTTGGTGCAAGTGTAACCCCACCACCCTGGCCCCGTTTGCTTTTTTCTTGCCTCCTTTACTTCTTCAGTCTATCCACAGCTTATTAACATTAATTAGGCTTCAACTCACAACTTCTTTAATTTTTTTTTAAGAGAAATGGGTCGTTTGAGTGGGGAACAAATAATATTATCTAAAACTAAAAGGGGCAGAAGGGAAAGGAAAGTTGTCTGGAAACCATAATTAGAGGGGGAGGAAGAAATGGAAAGGTGAGGAAAAGTTGGGTTTTTTTTTTCTCGCTTTTACTAAAGGAAAAGAAAGAAATCAAAATGGCCCTCCCATTCAATTATCCCAAAAGCCCTCCCAGAAAGTAAAAAAAAATAAAGTTTGGGTTTGGTACGGAGATGACCTCAGCTCAGCTGCGATTGATTTTGATTTTTGAGGGCTAAGAAAGAGAAAAAGGGTTCAAAAATGGATATCCAAAAAAGAAAAGCAAAGAAAAGCAAGAATATATAGAGATATGGAGCTTTATGGTAGTGGCATTACAGAGCAGAATGAGCAGAGAATGACCAGGAAATCCACATTGCCAGAGCGGCCTAGCCTAAGAGAAACCAAAGCCTCTTCAGTTGCTCTTCTTCTTCTTCCCCTTTCTTTTATGGTCCTTCTTGAAAGTGACCATTTATATATATACCATTCCAAAAACTTGTCCACTTGACCTAACAAAAGCGACTGGATTTGAAAACTCAGAACCCCCAAATCAGCAACTTGTTGGGAAGGAGAAGGAGACTCCAAAATGGATAAGGTCATCACATTACACGCAAGTGGCCGTGGAAAGGGAGCAGATGCTGAATGGTTGGGGGGGGGGGGGGGGGGGGGA